TTCTCCCTTGACAGACGATGCAGCTTATAGCGTGCACCTGTCGGGGTTCGCTTTTCAAACTTATCACGAGCTTTGATAAGTTTGTCGTTCCAAGCGTCACGACCTACATCCTCGAGATTATGGATGTAGGCGTTCCACGCCTGAAGTAGTGAGGGACCATCACGTTTGTGATTCCCACTGTACCATCGATGTCTGAAGAAAGCATCGATGAAGAACTCATGTTCAGCGCGATAGTCTTTCGCGCTGGGGTCAAGGTGATGGATCCTTGACGAATCGAACAATCGTGTTCGATAACGATCACTCGTCGTCGCCGACAAGTGATCCATGACAGATTTAGGAGGCATCCATGCCTTCTTTTCTGGAGCGAGACGCAACACATTGCGGTCCCGCTCTTCCTGCGACGTGCCGACAGAAGTACTGGCACCTCGCTGTGAAGTGGTGTCCATTGGAGAAACGACACCACTATTAGCGCCCGAGTCTCGCGACCTCGAGCGCCTTCGCTTCGGCGATGGTTCATCTGACTCATCAGATGAACCAAAGATGCTGCGACGCAAAGCATCGTCCATGCCACGCTTGGCAGGCGGCTTGGATTCAATTGCCGTCGATACGGATCCGTCATCCGTATCAGGAGAGTACGAGACACCGAGCTCGTACTCTGTGAAGACACGAGTGTCTTCATGACCAGCGCCTGCATCACCAGGTGATACAGGCTGAGTCGATTCAGCAACCGATGGGACATCAGTTGCTGTAGTTTCTGCTTCGGCGTCCGCACAGAGACGTGCAGACGCGCTCTTGGCGGCCTTGCTCGCGCATCGCATGGGCTTGTTTACCATGCGATGAAATGTTGGAAAGTGGACGCGGACCAACAAGTGCAAACCCTGTCCCAAATCATTTGGGACGAGTATCCATTTAGTCAATCAGTCACTAAAGTGACTGATGGTTAAGGGGGGGGGGTGATGTAACGGGGTGAATCGTTACATAACAATTTATAAGAAATTGTTAATAGAATATAACTATAAGAGTTATATTCTCAGAATATTGTCATAAGGACAAATATTCTGTAGCACTTCCAAGTAGTTCCTAATTGGTTGATATAGGCCATTATATCAACCAACGAAGACGCGCCACGACAGACGCACGCAATGAGTGGTGAGCAGATAACTGATTTACACATTTGTATTTAGACATAGTTAGATGAAGATAAATAGTGATTTATTGCAGACATTAACTATACTAAATACAGTTCTACTTTTTACTCTAACCGAGTACTCGCTTCTTCTTACCGTCTTCCTCTGCACGTACGAGTGTACGTGAAGTTACGAGGCACCGCCTTATTCTGTTATCAGAATAAGTAGCTTGTACTGTCACCAGTACAAGCTTCAGGGTGCCCCGTTACACCGTTCGATACCCTACCAAAGGTTAAGACTGAATGGAGGACACCTAACCGGACGAAGAGCTGAGCTTGCAAAATGGTGTCAGCGTCGATGCGATTTGCATAACCCTCGACATGCTATGTCATCAGATCGCACATAAGACTACGAGGAACATGACCGGTTGAATGAAATAACCCTCTGCTATGATCTTCTCCAAGTAATCACGAAAGTTTAAAAGAGGACAAGCACTTGGCAGCTTGCTAAATTGGGTTTTCAACGCTGCAATCCGACTGGCTGAAGCACCTACAGCTAAAGCAGAAGTACTTCAAGGGAAAACAGCAAAAGTAAATGCACTGGCTTGTTACATAGTAGCACGACTACCTTTGGTTGCCACGCCGTGCGAGCTACCCAATCAAGGGATGATTCTGCTTCACGCCTAAAAAAAGGTTTGAAAGAAACATCCGGGCATCGAAGTCGCTGATCGCTATGAATCTTAGCGACTGGTGCCCGGCAACAAATGCATGCCTCGTATGGATAGCGGCTGTCATATGCAGGTGACAGAAGGCGAAAATCAGAGTTGATTCAGGCTTTTTGGGTGTTGTGTATCACATTTCCATCTACTACGATGAATTGTTTGACCCATTGGAGACTTTACCATCCAAATAGTGGCGTGCCTTGGTGAGGTTCTGCGTCAACGGTTGCCTCCATGAGGTTTCGCGTCAATGAGTACATATTCAGTTCCGGCGTCTCGTTTGTAGTGCCGCCAACACGTCGATGCCAATGAAACAACAAGCAAGCACGAAGGCGCGCGCCAGAGAAAGAGAGAGGGCAGAGAGCAACGAAACTTTGGTGATTCACAGTTTACCAGTTGCTCTGCGTCTGGCGACGTCGAGAACGGTCGCAGTAGCAATCGTTGCATTTCTGACTGCCACCTACAAGACCGTTCGTCGCCATATGGTGGAATTTATCGTTCGATTCGATTTTCGTCACAAAACCCGAGTCATTCATTCGTATCCTGAAAGCTGCTGCTGCAACATACTGAAACACTCGTCTCGACCTTCTCACGACAATATGGTGCACCACAACCACCAAACAATGTTTCACGGCAACTTGGCCAGAACAAAAGAGGCAATTTTGACTCACACGCGTGCGGTAGAACCATCGGGGGCAACACCTCGCTGCACTGGTCGGTCTTTGGTCCAGATCCGCACCATCCTCCTTCGTTCTAGAGTTGTCTCCTGCATCTGGACAGCACCACGGGCTGCTAGCTACAAGGAGAAGAAGAAGAAGACGCTCCGTTCAATTCATTCTGCAATTTGCAGCAAAGGCGAGTCACCACCACCTCCACCACCACCACTCGACAGCTCGAGTCCTCGCTCAGCAGCATTCAACCGTCCAGCAGCAACCATGAAAGTCTTGGTTTTCTCGATCTTTAGTCTTTCTGCGGCCTTGCCAGCATCAGCTGGTACCCCCAAGTACGACGAGGACCTCGGCTGCTGGCCAATCAGCGTCGAGCGTGACGCCACCTACTGCATCGACGGGCCCGTCTGCAGCGGCGAAGGCTCGTCGCCTGCCGGATCCTCGTGCCCTGTCAAAGGTGATGTGGCGATCGCCGACTGTGACTCGAATGTCACTCGCGACAGTGTCGGCGACTACTGCGAGCTGTCAGTCGACACCGTCTGTGAGGTCATTCACACGGGGGCCTGGGGATGCGTCATCCCAACAAACGACCACGCCGACTCTTATGAGAGAGAGAGAGTTTCAGAGTGTCTATTTACTTAGCTTAAACTACGTGCAAGATCTCTGGTATGAACTAAGCCAGGACGTAAGCGCCGGGGTACCCGGGGGCTCTTCGTCGCTGGTGCCAGTGACCACTGGCAACCCTCTTGGTTCGGTTTCCAATAACTCGATGCATGCATAAAGCACTGCCCCGGTAATTGCTGTTGCTACTTTTCGATGCCGCCTCTGCGCTATAGCTCGAAGCTGGCGGATGCACGAGGCCCAGAAATTTTCGGTACCCCTAGTAATATCGATAGACTCTGCTCGGAAGACCGCCGCATTCCGGTCTGTCCATATCCTTGTCTGACACATCGTCGCCAGGATGTGCCACATTTCTTTCCATACGCGGATGGCCGCAGCTACGTCGTCTTGAAATCGGTCGTTTAAGATTTTCATCCGGTGTGACTGTATCGTGTGGGCCTGGCGACTTGCGCAGGCGACCAAGAATTGTTGGGTCCGCTCGCGGGACGCGCGTTCCCCGGTCCAGTGCTCAATCAGTTTAATCCATAGGGCAGTTGCGCTGTTGCACTCCCAAAAGACATGCATGATCGTCTCTTGACATCCGTGACAGGCTGGTGCCTTCCGGCAACTATTGTCCACAGGACGCGCCGCATGGTACAGGTTGAGCTGGCGCGTCGCGACCCGATACCCCGTCCAGACTTGATATGGAGAGAGTCCGTGACAATGATCCCACACTTGCCGCGGAGATTGCCTGAGAGCGGCACTCTGCCACTTTTCGATGAGAGCCCTGTCGTCGAGACGTGAGATAAAATCCTTCAGGGGGCGGGCAAATACTTTCTTGTGAAGCTGGAAAGCCTGGCGACCGAGTTCCTGAACGATGTGAATGTTGGACGTTTTGTCCAGAACGGACCAAGGAAAATGGTGAAGCTGCGGGTTCGCTTCAACAACGAGCCCTCCTGTCAAGAGCTCGCGGGTAAGCGCCTGTCGAGCGATGTCGGACTCGTCAATTAACTCCGGCACCGATCCCTGAAAAAACCATCGCAGCCCGTCACTGGCTTGGTGTAGAGTGAAAGACGTGGGTGGGCTCCTCGAACTGGACGATGGCCGACCTGCAATGCTGCCAGCGCTGTTCAGCCTCCAGTCAAAGCTGACCGAGAACGGAGGCTCGTGTCGGGGTCGGAGTGCTGGTGGCGTGTTTAGAGCCTCTCCAATTTGTAATTAGGGTGAGGATAAGAGCAAGGCTGTCGCCCACCGCCTTAATTTGGCTCCTGAGTGAGGGCCTGGGTGGTGTAGCGGCAGAGGCACAGTCATCACAAATTCTGCCGGACCTGTGCGCACTATGTTAAGCACTTCCAGAGAGCATACTGCTATCCGATCGTACTTTCTGCGTGTCAGCAGATTACCGCTCATATCCCGGATCCAGGGGTTTGCACTCCAATTAAAGGTGTGCCAAAACCGCTGAATTTCTAGTGGAAAGTCATCGGCCCCCCACCGGCCGCCGAGGAAAGGCTTGATAATACGACAATACGTAATCCTCCCCTTCCCACCAGCTGGCGGCCCGTTCAAGCAGAGCCGGCGATTGACTGGCGATCCACGACTTCAGGCTGTCAAGTTGTGCTGGTGTAGGTGCGAGCCATTCTCCAAGCTCCTGCGTCAGTGCCTGGTACTTAGAGCGGCTACATCGTGACTCCGCCCTCCTAGTAGCCGTAGCTGGTGAAATTTTCTTCGCAGTACCCGGAGGCTCTCCCCAAAAAGCCCATACTCGCCATGCGTCAAAATACTTGTCCTGGCGCTGCGTTAGCCAACTAATCGCATGCTTCGTCCGTTGAGTCTTGACAGCTACCGAGACATCAATAAGCTTAATCCCCCCAGCCTGTTTGGGCGTCACTAGCAGGCCTGGGTTGACCTTGTGGCGGCTTTTTTGTCGGTCACAGTCGCGTGCTCCCATAGAAAGTTCTTGTATGAATTATGCACCTCTTTTTCCGCCCATCGAGGGACGTAGAAGACGGACGCCGTAAATAGCAAGGAGGGGAGAACAATGGAGTTCAGGATGAGTACCCTGTTCTCAACGCTTGTCGCCACCCGCGTCGCAGTGAGGAGGCGGCGCTGAATTGTCCGGATCCGATGAGCCCAATTTTTGTTGTCCAGAGGCCCGGTCCCGATCTCGTACCCAAGGTACCTGGTAGTGGCGCCGGAGGGCACGATGTCTATACCGGCAAAGCTCGCTCTGGAGATGGCCCGGTTCAAAAAAAGAAGCTTGCTCTTTGCCGGTTGCACATGAAGGCCTGACAGATTCCCAAACGCTTGAATAATTCCGAGAGCATGGAGGATTTGTTTTTCCGTGTCCAAAAAGAGCGTTGAGTCATCGACGAACGCCGAAAAGAGATGAGTCCGGTCGACAGTCCCAGGCACTGGCAATCCTTTGAGTGACGGGTCTTGCTTGAGGGCGAGCCCTAATACCTCTACTACGAGTAAAAAGAGGAGAGGCGCAAGCGGGCAGCCTTGCCGGATTCCGGAACGCACCGGGAGCGCGGAGGATTGACCTCCATTAACGACAAAAGTTGCAGTCGTGCCCGTGTGGATCCGACAGATGAGGTCAACAAAGCTTTCTGTAAAACCAAATAGACGCATGGACTCGTATAAGAAATCTCGGTCCACAGTATCGTAAGCCTTCCGAAAGTCGAGTAATAAGATACAGCGACTGTCTTCCGCCGTCAAGTCGATCTGCTCCGTCGCCGTCGTTAGTTGGGCCATCATCATCATCACCGTCTTGGTCATACGGCGCCCGTGAACAAAACCTTGTTGGGAGTCACTAATGGTACGCGGTAAACACACCTGCACCCTCGTAGCTAGCACCTTGGCAAAAACCTTGTACCCGGTTTGTAATAAAGAGATCGGTCGATAATCCATGGCGTCATCTGAGTCACCTTTCTTCATAAGCGGAATAATTGAAGCCGACAGAAATGAAGGGGGTAGGTCGGCCCCCGCTAGAATTTGGTTGCCGATAGCTACAAGCGCCGGCACCATCAGCGCTGCTGTATCTTTGTAAAAATCATTATTGAGACCATCGGGACCCGCCGCTTTATACCGACTCAGCCCTCGGACGGCTGAAAGCACCTCGTCCTACGTTATCGGTAGCAGCAGGCGTTCATTATCGAGTGGAGTGAGCACTTGCACATGTGGGATCGTCGCGAAATCACGGATCGCCGCGGGCAACGAGTCCAGTGGCTCCTTGCGATGGCTGGCGCTTAACACGGACTCCCACTCCGACGCAAATCTATCTGCCAGGGACATATGTCGTGTGAATGCGTGCCCATAGCGTGCTGTCAACGAGGAGACACGTTGGTCCCGTTCCCAATGGGCTACCCGCTTGTAAGACCACCGAAGACGCTCGGTAGATCTCTCTAACTGCTCGCCGAGACGCACTAAATGATCCTCCCGCATTTCCTCCACATTGGCCGCTATCCAATGACGCCTGGTGAAAAACAGCCGCCTCCCTCGCTGTCGTATTTTCGAGATAAAGCGCCGTAGCCGCTGCTTTTCCCGTTTATTTACCACGGTTAAACAGCGGACGCACCGGTTCACGGTAGTGTCCCAAGACTGTACTGTAGGCGCGTGACCCACCCGCGAGGCTTCCATTTCTCGTAATAGATCTCTTAAGACCCGGTCCTGTTGATTTGACTCGATAGGATACACAACACGCGCTCTGGCGGAGGTTGTGGGTTTGGATTGACGGAGCCGTAAATGAAGAACGACCTGTTGGTGATCAGAGTAGACAGAGGGAGGAGTGGCGGACCGTCATAGAACTGTCGATGCCCAGTATTCGGATGCGTAGATTCGGTCGATCCGGCTGGCTGTTTCGGCAGTCCAGTATGTGTAGTGATCAGTCAAATCCTCTTCCTCTTCGTCTGCATGATACCTCATAAGACGAGCATCACTCAGCCTAGACGTCTCGAGTAACTTTTCCAGCGCAGGACTTTCCGTCCTACTAGCAATTCGAGAACCTAGTCGATCCAGTTGAGGACTCTGCACACAATTAAAATCCCCTAGCAAGGCTGTTCTCCCCAGCGGCAAGTTCCACCCGTGAAGACTCGTGAAAAAGCCTCGCGCTCTCCCCTGAGATTGGGGGCGTAAACATTTAAGATACATAAGTCCTGCACTGTAATCCCAATAGCGCGAGAATGCCATTTGTCTTCATTCCACGCAACGGCCCCCGTAGCGGCTGTCGGAGTGAGTAAAATGGCCACACCACTGGTCTTAGAGGACCCTACCGTCCAAAAGGACATGGGCGCCTGACCGGAGTCGCGATGCTTTCCCCGCAACCGGCGCCATTCCTGCCGCAGGTCCGCTGCTTCCTCGGCGCTCGTGACATGAGTTTCCTGTATGCACCAAGCTAGAGGCCTAGAGCTCACTGGAGTCCGACGCCAGGCCGTCATCCATTGGATCCGTTTGGCCTGTGTGAAGCCGAGGACATTGTGGGTCAGAAGCCTCTGATTCGCCGTCCTCTGACTTGTGTGGCGAGAAGTGGATCCCAGGATGGTATGAAGCATGCGCTGCGACCGTATGCGTCCGCGCTCGAGAGCGTCGCATCCGTAGACAGCGACGTGAGGAGTACCCGTGGAGTGCCCTTAGTACTGGAGGAGATATGTCTCCGCAGGACGGGTGAGCCCTGAGTAGAAAAACCGCTCAATCGCCGCCCAGTCAGCCACGCTGGCGGACGAGTAGTACGCCTTCCTGTACAAAGCATTCGTGCTCAGTAGGTGGATATGTGATCGGAGCTTCTCGGACACCCGCGTATCCGCTGGAACCCCTTCCACGAGCGCTGCTATCTCTCGATCGTACACTAGCGCACACACTAAGTGTTGGCTCAGCTTCGCTTTCCACTGGGGATCGCAAAATTTTAGCAAATCATCCCCCGCATAATCTTATTCCCTCAACCGGCCCCAATCATCGGAACTGTCCATAAGCGGCGCCAAAACGACGGAATCGGTGCGGTGCTGCGAGTTTCGGATCCACTGGTCGAGCCACTGTGTCGTGTGCTGACTGACAGGTTGCTCGCGATACCGCCGCTGTAACGGGGCACCCTGAAGCTTGTACTGGTGACAGTACAAGCTACTTATTCTGATGACAGAATAAGGCGGTGCCTCGTAACTTCACGTACACTCGTACGTGCAGAGGAAGACGGTAAGAAGAAGCGAGTACTTGGTTAGAGTAAAAAGTAGAACTGTATTTATAATAGTTAATGTCTGCAATAAATCACTATTTATCTTCATCTAACTATGTCTAAATACAAATGTGTAAATCAGTTATCTGCTCACCACTCATTGCGTGCGTCTGTCGTGGCGCGTCTTCGTTGGTTGATATAATGGCCTATATCAACCAATTAGGAACTACTTGGAAGTGCTACATAATATTTGTCCTTATGACAATATTCTGAGAATATAACTCTTATAGTTATATTCTATTAACAATTTCTTATAAATTGTTATGTAACGATTCACCCCGTTACATCACCCCCCCCCTTAACCATCAGTCACTTTAGTGACTGATTGACTAAATGGATACTCGTCCCAAATCATTTGGGACAGGGTTTGCACTTGTTGGTCCGCGTCCACTTTCCAACATTTCATCGCATGGTTAACAAGCCCATGCGATGCGCGAGCAAGGCCGCCGAGAGCGCGTCTGCACGTCTCTGTGCGGACGCCGAAGCAGAAACAACAGCAACTGATGTCTCATCGGTTGCTGAAGCGACCCAGCCTGTGTCACTTGGTGATGCAGGCGCTGGTCATGAAGACACTCGTGTCTTCACAGAGTACAAGCTCGGTGTCTCGTACTCTCCTGATACGGATGACGGATCCGTATCGACGGCAATTGAATCTAAGCCGCCTGCCAAGCGTGGCATGGACGATGCTTTGCGTCGCAGCATCTTTGGTTCATCTGATGAGTCAGATGAACCATCGCCGAAGCGAAGGCGCTCGAGGTCGCGAGACTCGGGCGCTAATAGTGGTGTCGTTTCTCCAATGGACACCACTTCACAGCGAGGTGCCAGTACTTCTGTCGGCACGTCGCGGGAAGAGCGGGACCGCAATGTGTTGCGTCTCGCTCCAGAAAAGAAGGCATGGATGCCTCCAAAATTCGTCATGGATCACTTGTCGGCGACGACGAGTGATCGTTGTCGAACACGATTGTTCGATTCGTCAAGGATCCATCACCTTGACCCCAGCGCGAAAAACTATCGCGCTGAAAACGAGTTCTTCATCGATGCTTTCTATAGACATCGATGGTACAGTGGGAATCACAAACGTGATGGTCCCTCACTACTTCAGGAGCGGAACGCCTACATCATCCATAACCTTGAGGATGTAGGTCGTGACGCTTGGAACGACAAACTTATCAAAGCTCGTGATAAGTTTGAAAAGCGAACCCCGACAGGTGCACGCTACAAGCTGCATCGTCTGTCAAGGGAGAAAGGATTACCCTGCCTCTCTTGGGGAGACTCGTGCCCATGTTGTGTGAACAACTCTGCACGAGCACCTAAGGAGGGCTTACCTCCCTACCAGCCCGTGGTGGCGCGTACGTATCTCTACTGAGATGTACGAAGGGATTGACAACCTGAAATCCCTTTACGACCGTGCCGGGAAGACTTTCTCCGGCGGTCCTTCTGCGGCACAGGATGTGCCGCGTCGTACTGCTCAACCAGATCCAGTACGTCGATCATCAGTTGGGAGCGGGGCTCCCAAGAATCCCAGGACGGGGGATAGCCGCGCCACCGGACGAGATAACTCGTCCGACGCCCGTTCACGTCGCGGTGGTTCAACAGCTGCTCAACTAGATAGCGCTGGCCACCGCGAGAGTCCTCTAATGGAGGTGGAGGAGGAGGAAAGATGTTCTCCACACGATCATGTGGATCGGTGTGTTCCCGAGATCTTCTTTGATCGCGTAACGCAAGGGTTACGCGACGATCTCGAACATGAGCGGAATAGGCGTCTCCAAATGGCGGACACTGCCTTGAAGCATCGAGCTGAGTTTGCCTTTGCTCAGCTTGAGAACGAGAGATCTCTGACATCTCTTCGTGACGAGCTAAGGGTAGCTCGTGGGATTGTTGATCGGTCTCGGGCTGAGATAACTGCTCTTCAGACCCTTGTTGATGCCCACCATCGGGAGCACAAGGCTCTCTGCGAGATGCTAGAGCGCAAGGGCGTTCTTCATCGGAAGAAGCAGCGTACTGATGGTACGGCTTAAGCCGGCCAACGTAAAACGTGGGATGCGTTCGCATCTTACGTGGTAACTCGATCGTGTATGCATTGCCTAGGTGGTGCAATACACGAAATGGGCCAATGTACTTGGGTAGTAGTTTACTGCTACCCAAGTTAGTCACTACATGCTTTGGTAGATTAACCGTAGACAGTAGGACTAAGTACACCTTTACTAAATAAAAGAGTGTTTGCCCTTCCATTCTTGTCAGCGTTTTGCTTTTGCTTATCCACCGCTTCGGCGATGGAGTCTTGCACAAAACGGACTACCGTTTCACGAGCCAGTACGAACTCATCTGATGACTCGTTAGCTTCAGTGCACTGTTAGCGCACTGCAGCAACATCAACCTTTTCTTCAGTGAGGGCTTCCGCACTCTCACTGGCATCATATTCTTCGATATCGATGTTATCGATATCGGCATCAAACGCAATGACTTCTTCGTCAGAGCGTGATGAGCGTGAACCAAATCGGTTTTTGCTCGCGCGAGTCCCTCCCCCCCTTAAATCAGAGTTACACTCTAGTAAGGTGGGTACACGCGGATGGCGCAAGCCATTCACGTAAAACGGTGTATGTGTCGTGGACGCATGCACCGAGTTGTTAATGGCAAACTCTACCATTGGCAAAAACTCACTCCAACTCTTAAAGGAGTGTACGTATCCTCGAAGTATCTCTTCAAGGACACGATTGGCACGTTCCGTCTGACCATCTGACTCTGGATGATCAGATGTTGACATCTTCAAGCGCGTTCCGAGTGATTTGAACACGGAACGCCA